GAATTTTCTCTTTGTGAAATCCCAACATTACAATTAGTGTGACCTATCTATGGCAGGCAATGAAAATCTCGTAATTCTATTTCTGTAAACTTTACAATGGAGTTTAATGACAATGACTAACAGTAGTACACTCTATAATCATTAGTAGATTAAAGATACCGATGTACTTATAAATCTTTCTAGGCATATATAGCTCAGACACTGGAGTTAATGTGGTTTACAAAATCAGATGGTGTCATGAGGTTTTTATTGCCAACCGTCGATGTAATAAATACGGTTATTGTTATTTTTATGCTCTGAGAGAATGGTTTGTTAGCTCCATAAAAATTTAATTGAACAATTTTTTATCAGCCCAACATTGCCAAAAAATAATTTCTAGTCAAGATAGAGCGGTAAGTGAAAGTTGTATGAAGCATGTACCACATATTTTTAAAAATCAGTAAGCTATTTGCAAATTATCCATAAGTTGAAATTCGGGTAAAAAATTGTTGTTTGTTTAAAAAGTTAAATATACATTTTTTTTGTTTTTTCTATTATCATTATTACTACAAATATCATTATTACTAGCCTCAGGCAAACAATTACTTAGCTAAACACTCAGCTACTGACTGGGCTGGCCTATATTCGCCAATTTAGGGCAGCCGGTATGTTGATGTACTTTCGCCATACAATGCGGTCGAGGTTGCCATGTGACACCGACCTTCCGAAGTGACAAATAAAATATTGAAAGCAATGGCAATAATCAAAACCGCCTACCGCTACTGGATCTAAATAATGCATCAACATTCGGAAACAGTGAACGGGAGGTCACAACGTCGGAAAAACATTGTTCTCAGCAATATCAACTGTCTACAATGTTCCGAGAAATAAAAATCAATCCGTTTCAATTAACAAGAGACCGATGTTTGTGGATAACTTTGGAATGCACTGTTGTGTCAATCCTACCAAATTAGTGGATGCAAACAGATAAAAAATAATACGGGTCATGATTTAGTTTATCTCTTATTAATTAAAAATTCGCTAATTATAATTAGTTATCTCTAATAATGCTTGAAGCAGATATATTTATTCTGTAAATAATTAGTAACGATTTTTAAATTTTAATACATGTTTTTTTTGTGTTTTATTGAGTTGTTAATTTTGTTGTCATAATTTCTTTGTATTTTTCGTGTGTTCTAATAAAATAGTAAAAAAAATTATTTTCATATTTTATTAATTACAATGCTCAACGAATGACAATAAATGCCTCCAGAGCAAGCAAAAGACCACATAGTAAATCAACAAAGATGCAATATAGGTGCGTGCAGATAAATTGAAAGAAATTATTGACACTTGTAATTCATCTTAATAAAATAAGTGTTTAGGCTAATTAAGAATTTACAGCTTGGCTACCTATCAAATGCACGTTAAACAGCCTTTGAAAGGGTGCCAAGTTCGAAATCATACATGAATCTAAACGCTTATTTTATCAAATTTAAGTTACAATAATTGGTAACATTTCAATAATTAATGCTTTTATCCTGCCTGTAGCCTCGATTTTCCATGAAACACGATACTCAATAAGTTAGAACTCGATTTCGGTTCACCCAGCTATATAGACTGCGTACAAGACATCTCGCATTTCAATAAACAATAAAATTCAAAACCATTTCGACTCAAGGACTATTGGAAGATAGAAAACTACTCAAATATCAAACGTATTCAATTCCTTCATCTATTCGTAGCAAACCTTTCCAACTACTGAATATGATCCATATTAGTCAGCAGCAAAATTATGCATATGATATCCACATATATACATTTTGTCTTCAAGATCCATACTTTCCAAATTCCTATTAAAATTTTTATCATCAAAGATGATTTTCTAAATATATTCAGATGTTATTCAGTTAATCAAATTCAGTGTGGCATGAACTTTTAATCCAAATTTAAAGCAAATTAAATCATTAGGCACAGTCAGTAACAAAACATAAATAAATAACTGATTATGTTCTATTAAATACTTTTGAATCTGAATCATTATTAAAACCTAGAATACAAAGTTTTATTAAAAAATTTAGTTTAGGCTCCATTGTGCTCAGTGTTAACATTGTTGGGAACCCACCATTCGCAAAATTAATGCTTGACCTTTCATCTGATAAAGGAGGGAAGTGAATGGCGTCAACAACCTTCCGAAACAGGACTAAGGCTGGCAGCGAACTTGCTAACATCGCTTAGTACTCCTGCCTCTGTTGGTGCCTAAATGTTCCAGAACTTAGCACTTCTTTGTGCCCTTCCTGAAAAAATATGTAGTTGGTTGCGCGAAACTTCAATAATTATTAAAAAACATTACGATTACCAAAATTAAAAATATTTAGAATTTCTGCAAATAACAAAGGAAAGCCTTGAATATATAAATAGTTGGTTCATGAATTTTTCTCCCCTTCATACAATATCGAAACAGAAAAACAGTGATAAATATGTAGACCAAAACAGTACTTATCACTTCAAAAGTTTTTTATTATTTATTAACGATATTTATAACTTTATAAAAAATACATCTAGCAAATTTGTACAAATGGACATAATGACATGAAAACACTTGTTGGAAAACTACCCACTAGTAGCACTCTAATAATATATCTATATTAGGAGATCACGGGGCCATCTTTTCAGACGCCTCGGAGGGTTATCAGGGATCAAAGAGGAAGCAAGTCTAGAAACAAGAGAGTTGGGATGGATATGAACTTTATTATGGAACGGTAGATATCTGGATTGGGCCAAATCCGAAACATATTTAGGATGGATACTATTTGTAATTAAGCAAGGAGCATTGAGGATTTTACGAAGGATTTATAATTGTAAGGATTGGATACGAGAGGAATTTCATGGTTTGGTGGAGCTCCATAGCTCAACTCCATAAGTTCAAATAGACATTATTATAGTCATGTATATGAGTCTTTTGTAACTAGATAGTTTGTCTAGTAAGTGTTGAAGCAGTCGGAGACGTCGAGTAGTTTCTTGTTATTTCAGTCTAGTATGTGGATACCAAGTTAGACGTTTATCCAGGTGTAATCCTAGGAAACAGATAGGTGAGGTATTGTTAAAGGATATTGCAAGACAGGAAGTCATAGGTTTACGATAAGAAACATCATAATAAAAAAATAAAAAAATTGGAATACACTAGAGTTTATTCATCACACCAAGCCATCTCTAAACACTGGACATCTTGGATTTGCACAGAGAGCTTCATGTAATGTACAGCCTCTAGTAATTTCTTCTCTTTTTTTTTCTTTTTTTTTATGTGTAACAGAGGTGCAGTTTTCAGCTTTCGGTTCGCAGAAATACATTACTCTGTTTTTGCAGTCCTGATTGTGGTAGAATTGGCGGAACTTTTTGGATTGGTTAACTGATCACCAGTTGTTAAAGAAACAACGAATTTTTTATTTAAAGAATTTCTTTTGAAAGAAATACATTACAATGATTTTTAAATTTTTCATTGTGTAAAGATTAAATGTTCTTTAAATATTGGATTTGAATTTTTCACGCTAGGGAACACCGTGCTATAAATCAAATGCTGATGAAAGTCCGAAAATTTGGTGCTCATTCTTTGGAGTTGCATATGCCTCATTTTCTCTTGCGTTAGTTTCTACATCTGGTCGACGGTCATTTTGTTGGTAATATACGTTCACGGTTTATCATAATGAAACGTCGGACTGGTGTAAAATGCTTCTCAAAACATTTTGGGATCAAAATAATGTTTATGAACTTTTTGTTTTTCAATGGTCGATTCGAAGCATAATCCTAGGCTAACTTTATAATAGTAACTCATTTAATGCATAATTTTATATAATTAATTTTTTTAATGAAATTTTTATCGCTATGAAGCACCGTTAAATAATTGTAAATGAATTGCTAAAAAAGTCCAATAGTTCCATTTTTTCTATATCACCATTTCTTATTCTAACCACAAGCGGATCTACTGGGGAGGGCTTTGGAGCTAAAGCCCCTCACCTAAAATGGTAAAACATAACCATGTTTTTGAAAAAAAATATTAAAAAAATTATCTCTCAAAATACTATTGTTCGCGTAATTGCATTTAAAAGGACTTCAGGATTCACATAAACACTATTTCATATAGGTAGGTAGTTAGTTAGGTAGTTCTTTCTTTTTTTTCCAAAGTAATTATCATTATTTTTATGGAAAAAAAAAATTCGGGCTGTAGGCTAAAAAAAATAAAATAAATCCTGGATCAGCTAGTGATTTTTACGAATTCTCGCGAGGAATCCGCAAGAATAGAATATATTTTATCTCTTTTCAGAATTAAATGTGAATGTTATGATTTAAATTTGTGTTTAATAAATGTGAAGCTTTATGTGAATATGTCATATTTGTCTGTAAAGGCTCCGATGTTTTCTTCAATTATCGGATTAGTTAGAAATTGCGAAATTAGATATTTAGTTATTTATACTACCATAAATTCTTCAACTCAGGTAATTATCACCTACCACTGAAACTATTATTCGTAGCCCAAGTGAATACTGCTGCTCCTGAGTTCAACAGATATTCTATTTGCTTTAATTTCTTTTGATTGCTTCTTTTTGGCCACGATTCTTATACCGGAGAATATCAAAACACGACTGAAAAGGATCTGGATGAGGGACCTACTTACATAAGTATGTATGTAATTAATAGTCATGGAAGGGGTGCTGCTGAGTACTTTTCCACTTGCATATTAAGCCTATTCCTGTTTTAATTTTTTTTCTCTTAATTTTTTTAAATATATTTTTCTAATTCTCATCTCATTATTTAGCCAGAACATCTGCTGATGTTTAATAAATTTAATTAACAGGAGCGGATCGAAAAAGAAATTTTTTGTTTGTTTGTTGGCTTTTATCATTTACAAGACATAAAAATTACACAAACATAATCTCTGATTGATACCATCTCTAATATATTATATTTTGGCTACTTCTATTTTTATCCTTTACTCATACGTTATGATATTCATAGCTTTGTTCTTTCTTTTCAGATCGTGGATGGGAACGCTAAGACAGAGCTAAGCAACCGCAAAGACCCGGGTCTGTTCTGCGGCGAGACAGAGCAGCCTCAAACATTCATCTCCGAGACGAGCTTCGTCAAGCTGCTCTTCCACACTGACAACTTCACAGACCAGACCTACTTCAGCTTCGACTCGAGGGCGGAGCAGCAGTACGATGTGTACCTCCGCTACGGGCAACACCCTGAGCTTTACCCGAACAGGAGGGGGCAGGTCCTTCCCGGGTGAGTTATTATTATTTTTCAGCTTCATTAGATGTTTTCAGCATAATTGCTTATCATGAAAACTATTTTTTTGTCATTCCCTTCCTCGCATTTTAGACTATTCCGAGTATTCCCGAACCATGGGTGAGGGCGGAGGATTGATGAAAGAGTTAAAATCCTCCCGGAAGCAGGACGCGAACTCATAATTATTTCTATTTAAATTATTTTCCATCAGGTTGTCGGGTAACGCGTTAGTCCGCTCGGCCACCCCGCCTCCCTTCATTGCGAAAACTACCAAATGAACTAAATTAAGTTCATATGTACGCTACCCTTTAAGTATTTGACAATACTTAGAACAAATCAGTCATTTGGAAATTTCTTTAAAAATGATAAGAAGGATACCAAATTTTACGGACGCTAAAATGAGACTACGGAAAGATTGCATATATTATGGATGTATAATTTATCATTGACTAATTAGGTCTGGGGTACAAACCCAAGTATCACAATGTCGCTCACTGGGGATTCTACAGGGTGTTTCAGGGCTAAGTAACCTAACTGAAAATATAAATTATGGATCTGAAAACAAGAAAAAAAATGCTATGAAGTTATGTCCGTTATATTTTTGTTTTGGAGATATTGACGTCTAAATATTTTCATTGTTTTTAATTATTTAGGTTATAATAAATAAATATAATTTATACTTTTCCAACTACTTTATTAATGAAACGTAAACATTAATACTCATATTAAATGTTGTTCAAAGTGATTGCCTTGATCATTATGTTAGGATAGGACAGACAACTTATGTTATTTTTCAATAACAAATTGTATTACGCTTTGTGTTGTTTCAATTATCCTTCAGCATTTAATTTTACTTAAATTTAATATTAATTTTGATGTTTACATTTCATTAATAAAATACTTAAAAAGTATATTAATTTATTTCTTATATCCTAAATAATACTGATAAAAGCTAAGATAAGACATTATGGAGCAGTAGTTAGACCTGCAGTATGAAAGGAACAATGGGATTTACCATTACCAAAAAGCTAGTGAAAACAAATAATAATATGGTAAAGTTTGTATAAAGATATAAGTTCATGGCCCCAGAAAGGTAGGAGATGAGTATTGGCTTAAAAAGAATTAATAATTGTACGAAGATCAAGAAATAACTAAGAGGAAAAGGAGGTTTGAAATTCTTTGGTCACGTGAAGAAAATGAGTGGAGATAGGATAAACAAATAGATATTTGACAAAGTAATGGGACTGGAGAATATCAAAGTAATGGGATACCCTGGGTAGTTTAAGGAAGAAATAGTAAGACTTGGGATATAACAAAACGAATACCATCATAAGAATAAATTTAGGGAAACAATGAATAAAATAAAGGTTCTTGAGATAGAAGAGAGGATAAAGAAAGGAAGAAAATGGACAGAAGTACGGAAAATGGAAATGATTGAAAAAATGAAGAAAGTTTGGCCTAAAACGAAAGCCAAAAAATAATTATATATGCGATATAATGATATAGCTAGTCTCCTTCTCGAAAAAAAAATAGCCTAAACAATTCATAACAATGAAAATCTTTACACGTTAATATCATCTCGTAAACAAAGCTTTGAAGGATAAGCCTTAATAAGAATTTTTTATCTTCTTTCGAGATTCAGAAATAATAATTTCAGTTAGGACCTAATCCTGAAATACCATATATATTGGCCTGCAGATTTTTAATTTTTTTTTTTTTTTAAAATTAAATTTCTTGTTTTGAGACTATATCATATTTTAGACTTGGCATGAATGGTAAATGTTAAGAAATTGCATTCCAGAATTTGCAAAAGAAAAGAAAGTCGTAATTACAGGAGCACTAATGTTTAAAGGGATAACTTTTCCAAATACTTATGTATTTTGTACAAAAGTTTAAGTATTTATTAGTAGTATTTATCACATTCAGAAATAAGTGCCCATACGGATTAAAAAAAGATAATATAATATCATTGTTTTTTTATTTAATATCACTTTACGAATTTTTATATTGTGTTTTAAGTATTAATTACTCCATATATATATAATCTCAATATCATTATCACAACCAAGTTGAAGGACGAAATATGTCCTATTCAGTTTTCTCATAATTCAAAAGTATTACTTATACCATTCAGATATATACACAAATTTTTCATAAAATGTTTTAAGCCGTTAAAAAATAATTATATGTGGATTTCTACGATATATGATTTTTTTCATACATATTCTTTTAAATATAGTTATTCATTAGCCTTTATGTAAATTCATTTTCACATTTATGATTATGCAAAGCAGTGAACTAGAAATTTGAATTATGGGTATAAATTCTTCTTTAACCTCACGATGGAGCCCTTTATAAAATTTAACATAAGAAAACGTTGTAACATGTTACAAAATGTAAGAAACACCTATTTCTATTGTTCGATCAACACTCTGATCATAAACACATTTCCCTTTATGTTGATATCACCTGGAAGTACCCCTTGGGCGACAGTAAAGCTATACCCAGGCCATAGCTCGGTGGCAGAACACGAGCGGGTGTGGGGGAAACAATCCAGCTGAGAGGTTTATGGCGGTGGCAAGATGGCCAGGGGTCCACGGAGGATCCTGTAATGGATTCATGGACGGTAATGCTCGGACCATGGCCAGCCATTCAAATACCTCTGGAAACCCATACCTTGCGAATCATGAATGAAACATGGACACCACCTATCAGCCGTCCTCGTAACATTATACCTATACCCTCGTCTCTTTCCTCTCCATCCGATATCACTTTTTTTTTTTTTTAAACTGACATTTCATTAGTCTTTGACATTAATTGAAATATCATAATATGAAAATGACGGTTCTCTGTATTGAATACTAACCAGGCTGTTTCATAAAAACGAACAGTCATTTTACGTTAGTTTAGAGAATGTATGGACTGTTGTTGTGTAATGTACTTAAAGTGTGTTGTACAATATTTAAATTTTTGCAATCATTAAAAATTTATATAATGATGTGGCAAAACCAATACTTAGTTATCTGATTTATAACAGATAAAAATACCTAGAAAAGAAACATAGTTAAACTTTCTTCAGCTTTTGTTTTTGTATTGTTGAATGTTTTCGTTTATCATATCATATGAACCTTATATCAATTAAACAACCATGAAACTCAAGTATATATAAGATATAACAGCTAACCAGACTATGATCTATTTATTTTGTTAAAATTTAAATGACAAAAAAATAATAAAGTAAATATAATAAATAAATTATCCATAATATTTTTTAAGGGATTTTCCTTAATTTGCACTTGTATACATTTTTTTTAAATTTAATATTGAAGAACTTTAGCCATATATTCTTCATGAGTAATCATGCCTTTTTTTTTTCCTGATGTAGACATTTCAGAACAATTCCAAACGAATAGATGTTTGTAAATTCGCTCATTTTAAAGTAGTAAGGAAATTCGTTAGTACATAATATATAAGGAATGATTTTCATTGCGTTGTCAATGAGTTTGATAAATGACATATCTGAATGTTTTTTCAAGACTCATGAGTTTGGTACACCCGTGAAAAACTTTTTCTTACTTTGCTTCTTCACTGATATCTTGGAACTATATTTTATAACTAAACAACTTTTTGAGATCGTTAAATATTTAATTGCCTTATCACAATCCAACGAAATTTTATTAACGCCCGAATCTCAGCAAATTTCTTCTCGAAACTGATAGATTGTTCACGGCGTTGAGCTAACAACTATTAGGCATAAAATTATCATAAATAAAAAAATAATTCAAAATAATTCTGCGTTATAGTGAAATAAGAAGTGTTTAGCAGAAAGTTCGACCAAAATGGGGCTACCTACATCATTCCAACGAGGCGATGTTCCCCGAATAGCATGCTCCTCACGTTCTTAATTATGATTTTCTATCCTAAGCCATTGCACCATTAATCAAGTTGGGACATAATTATCTTCTCTCTCCCCTGCTCTCCAAACCAAATTATTTTATACGCTTATCGTACGTTTTGTAAGAAACCAAATACTTTGTGCGAGAGTGATACCAACAACATAACTTTGTTTGTTGTTCGATACACCATTTATTCAGATCGGATGATAAAAATAAAAAACCTGTGATACTACAAGCCATGAAGAATCTTGGATTCATTACTTTTTAGGAAGTACTTTTGGTCGCGGAAGAGATTCGATGGAAATCACTCTACCAACTACCCAGTTCCTCCCTTAATTAATTATTTAATCAACTGATATTATCCACTTGTTAGAAGCTGTGTGTGCCCCAGGAGCGTCTCCCATTCCTAGGGCCGATTCACGACTGATTTAATAGAATTGATTTATTTAAAACTTTCCCTGGACTTAATTTGAAAAACTTTGAACTGAATTTAAAACTTTTTTTACATTAATGTTTTTCGTCTGACTGTAAATCATTCACTTCAAGAAAATGAGTAACTCCTATAATAAGTGATTGCTAGCCACAGTCGGACTAAAACCAGAGACCGGGAGGATAACAGTGACGTATTCACTAAGCTACCACGCTCCCAATGTTATAACTTTTTTTAAAATTTTGATTATAATGTAATGTGATATAATGTAATAATTCACTTAGAAAATCGAAAAAATATAGTAAAGTAATTGCTCCAAAGAAAATCAGATTATCAGATTTTTTTTTTTTTTAATTACAGGTATATACTTTTTGTAAGTTTCTGCGCATGTTTTATGTATGATTACGTTATAGTAAATAGTGTTCCTGCAATTTTAATATCATTTAAGGACCTAATAAAACTTTTTTAGGTGTTGAGTTGCTTATGGAATATTTTAAAAAAGTTTTAAATTAACAGTTATAAGTAAGAACTATTTTTAAATAAAATTCTGAGTTTTGTGTAAAATTTTATATTTTATTTATTTATTATTGGTTCCTGAGTAGTATTTAGCATAATAATTGCAGTAAGTAATCAAAAAATAATATAGTATAATATTTAAGATATAGTATAAA